GTGAAAAAGTATCTGTGGGTTAAACAAAGACATTGGGTTATGGCTTTAACCAATAAGTGGACTTCAACTCCCAGAATCCCTCAGCCAGCCAGGATTTAAGAGGGGAGGACTTCAACTCCCAGAATCCCCCGACCTTCATCTTTCTTTATATTTTTGTGTTTTACGCTTAGATTAAATTAATAAAAAAAATCCTGAATAATGAAAAGAGGGCCAGCATCCACATCTGTCCACAAGATGAGCTTTGTAGTACTCACTGGATATAAGCATTTAGGAACGAGTCCGCTTTGCAGATGAGATAGATGTCCGGAATGCCAACAGATTCGGAAGTGCTGTACGTCTCTTTTAACGTCCTGTAATTCTCCTCCGTCAGATGCCAGATCACTTGGAAGTGGTCGTTTAACAGGAGAAAGAACTTTATGTTCTCCAAAGACCCTTTTAAGATAAAAATCGGGGTTACCCATAAGGTGAAATGGTCTGGTTGGAAAAAACGGTTTAATCATCCTGAAATAATGGAAATTTGGTGATCTCGGATACAAGTTAGTCCTCGATTTACGACCACATTTGAGCCCAACATTTCTGTTGCTAAACAAAACATTTGTTAAGTGAGTTTTGATCCATTTGACGAGCTTTCTTGCCACAGTTGTTAAATGAATCTCTGCTGTTGTTAAGCGAGTAACACGGTTGTTAAGTGAATCTAGTGTCCCCATTACCGTGCTTGTCAGAAGGTCGCAAAAGGGGATCACGTGACCCTTGGGAGACAGCAACCGTCATAAGTACGAGTCAGTTGCCAAGCATCTGAATTTTTGATCTTGTGACCCTGGAGATGCTGCAACGGTCATAAGTGTGAAAAACAATTGTAAGTTATTTTTTCCAGGGCAGTTCTAACTTCAAACAGTCACTAAACGAGGACTTGTAAGTTGAGGAGTACTTGAAGTTTAGCGATGATGTGGCTGATGCATTAGAGAGAATGTTATCCTGATGATATGTTGATCTCAAAATTAAAGTTTGTTTTTTTTCTTTTTCCTGTGGGTCAGAACTGGACTCAGCACTATATAAAACTGAGAAATTTTGTGCCTAATTCAAATTAAACAGCCTGAGGGCACAGCTATTTTTCAAGTAGTCCTTGACTTATGACCACAACTGAAAAAAAAATCATATGACTATTTTTCACACTTATGACCGTCGCAGCATCCCCGTGTTCACACCATCAAAGTTCAGACGCTTGGAAACTGACTCGTATTTACGACGGTCACACCGTCCCTGGCGTCACATAATCCCCTTTTTGCGACATTGTGACAAGCAATGGGGGAAGTCAGATTCATTTAACAACTGTGCGACTCACTTAATGACAGCAGCGATTCCCTTAACAACGGTGGCAAGAAATGTCCTAAAATAGAGCAAAACTTATCAACAACTGTCTCGCTTAGCAATGAAAATAATGGCCTCAATGAGGTCTTAAGTCAAGGACTGCCTGCAGTTGTTATGTTGAATTTCCCACGATAAATTTGAACCCATTGCACAGCACAGATTAAGAGTGCCCGAACCTGGACCCCAATATTGGGTCTCCCCTTCTCACCTGTTTGCAGAAGGGACTTAAGGACCACCGTGTTGATCCGGGCGAGATGCGCGGAGAAGGTCTCCTCCACCCTTAGTAGTGAGGAGATCACCTCCGTGATGCTCATGTCCTGGGAAGACCCCCGTTGGGAAAGGAGAGGAGGCAGAGAGGCTGAGTTAGGCCGGAGTTGCGAAGCTTGGACGCTTCAGAAACAGGTCAGGATGAAACTCAACTTGATCCAGAAACATGGTTCACACCGGGATGCCTTTAAAGATTCAGGAAGGGGAAGCAAGGGAGGGAAAAAACGATATTTCTGAAGGATTGTGGTGGGATTAAGGATGAAGAGGAGTGGACTTCAACTCCCAGAATCCCCTACCCAGTGTGCTTTAAGAGGGGCGGACTTTCACCCCCCAGAATTCCCCAGCCGGCATGCTTTAAGAGGGGTGGACTTCAACTCCCAGAACCCCCCCCCCCGCAAGAAGCTTTAAGAGGGAATGATTTCTGCTCCCAGAATCCCCCAGCCAGCCATGCTTTAAGAGGGAGGACTTCCACTCCCAGAATCCGCCAGCCGGCATGATTTCAGAGAGGTGGACTTCAACTCCCAGAATCCCCCAGCCGGCCTGCTTTTAGAGGGAGGGCTTCATCTCCCAGAATCCCCCAGCCAGCAGGGTGGACTTCAGCTCCCAGCACAGCTGGTACGGGAACTCTGGGAGTGTAAGTCTTCTCACCTTCAAGCTGTCAAGGTTGGAAAACACGGCATGAAACAGGATCTAGATAGAAAAACAATCCATGTTTATCCCTGTCTCCTTTTATGCAAAATAAAATCAAACCAGGTTTATTTTGATTTTCTTTCTCATGCTGGCTTCAGTTCCTTGACGGTACACAGGTAGTCCTCGATTTACAACAGTTTATTTAGTGACTGTTCAAAGTAACAACAGCACTAAAAAAATGTGACTTATGGCCAATTTTCGCACTTACGACCGTTGCAGCATCCCCAGGGTCACATGATCAAAATTCGGACACTTGGCAACTGACTCATATTTATGATGGTCTCAGTGCCCCGGAATCAAGTGATCCCCTTTTGCGGCCTTCTGACAAGCAAAGCCAATGGAGAAGCCAGATTCACTTAACAACCGTGTTACTCACTTAACAACGGCAGTGATTCACTTATGGGTGGCGAAGACATAAATAGATGAGTTTACAAATTAAATCAGGATATCTTGATGATGGTCTGTAGCATCTGCTTTTAATAATATATTATTATGTTTGCTGTTGTTTTTCAACTCTGTGGAATCATGTCAACTGGCAAAGCAAAAATGAATAGACTGGGTGAAAAGCACGACTTTGAATCCATTTCTCCCCCTTCCTTGTACAGGCAACCTGGAAAATGTGACTTATGACCGGTCCTCGCACTTACGACCATTGCAGGATCATGTGATCAAAATGCGTGCACTTGGCAACTGGCATGTATGCATGACGGTTGTGGCATCCTAGGGTCATGTGATCAGCTTTTGAAACCTCCTGACAAGCAAGGAGGAGCCAGATTCACTTAATGACCATGTGATTCACTTAACAACCGTGGGAAATTTTTTTTGTAAAATTGGGTATGATTCACTTAGCAACTGGCAGCAATTCGCTTAAGAACCGTGGCACCAAAGGTTGGAAAATCGTGTGTCACTCACTTAACAACCTCCTTGTTTAGCAACGGATTGTGATCATAAGCCGAGGGGGGAAAAAGTTACTGAGCACAAAAGGCGTCCCTGAAAATCGGCAATTGCGTAAGAGTGACATTCTTCTTGCTCCCGGGTGTGTGGCCGAGGTGTGACATTGTCTCTTCATTAAGCAACACAATCTTTACACAGTTTCAGGCTCGCCCATTCTGAAAGTCTAATAATAATAATATTTAATAATAATCATAAAGTTGGAAGGGACCTTGGAGGTCTTCTAGTCCAACCCCCTGCTCAGCCAGGTAACCCTATACCATTTCGGACAAATGGCTGACCAGTCTCTTCTTAAAAACTTCCAGTGTTGGAGCATTTACTGCTTCTGGTGGCAAGGAGTTCCACTGGTTAATTTTTCTCACTGTCAGGAAATTTCTCCTTAGTTCCAGGTTGCTTCTCTCCTTGATTAGTTTCCACCCGTTGCTCCTTGTCCTGCCTTCAGGTGCTTTGGAGAATAGCTTGACTCCCTCTTCTTTGGGGCAGCCCCTGAGATACTGGGAGACTGCTATCATGTCCCCCCTCGTCCTTCTCTTCATTTTGATTTCTTTCTCTCTTTCCCCCCCCCCCAACAGCTTTTGAAAGCCCACTGGACATACTGACCAACAAATGGTGGACAAACGCATTTCTATTTTCTGGACTCCTTTTAAAAAAAATAACCACCACAACCTCAAAAATCTACAAAAAGGTTTAAAAAATGGTTTGGAAACGGCGAATCTTGCCTGTTTTGGCACACTTACTGCAGCCCCAATCATAATACAGATAGTCCTCGACTTGCGTCCACATTTCTGTTGTTGAATGAAATATTTATTAAGCAGGTTTCGTCCCACTTTCTTGCCACGGTTGTTAAGTGAGTCGTTGTATTTGTTAAGCGAGCAACACGGTTGTTAAGTGAATCCAGCTTCCCCATTGACTTTTGCTGGTCCCAAAGTCACCAAAATGGAGTCACATGAACCCGGGATAATACAACCGTCGTTAAGTGTGAATCAGTTGCCAAGCCTCTGAATTTGGATCACATGACCACAGGGGTGCTGCAATGGTCGTAAGTGTGGAAAACGGTCGCAAGTGCAGGAAACGGTCATAAGTGCAAGGACTGGTTGTAAGTCACTTTTTTTCCCGTGCTGTTGTTACTTCGGTCACTAAATGAACTGTTTTTAATTGTAGTCCATCCTAGCTGGAGGCTTTCAAGGAGTTGGGTGAGGCAAGGGGCCTGATGCAACCCGTTAATTATGCAAGGTCTTTTTTTAAGTTTCTAGACCTCACCCTTCCTGTGCCCTGACGTGATGCCAACACCATTTCTTTCTTAAGGATTAATTACTTGGGCATGTATTTACAAAGCTGGGGAACCTTGGGGATCTTATAAAGAGTATTATCCACCAAACACCTTGGTGTAAATCAAATAGTTCAGCAGCAAATGGGGTTCCCATATTTGGGGGGGGGGGCTGCAGGAAAGACTTAGGTGCGATTTCTGACTCAGTTGCCCTTCCCAGCAGGGACACAGACCCCCATCTCTGGAGGGGTTCAAGATGAGACTGGACAGCCATGGTATATAAGGTCTCTTGCTTGAGCAGGGGGTTGGACTAGATGACCTCCAATGTCCCTCCCAACCTTATGATTCTATGTTCTCTCCCCTGGCAGAGTTGAGTCGTGGCAGGCAGGTTTACCCCCAGGGGATAAAATGGCTCCTTGAACAGGTGACGGGCATACAGATTAGTCCTTGACTTACCACCGTTTCGTTTAGTGACCGTTCGAAGTTACAATGTCACCCCAAAAAGTTTTTTACACTTACGACTGTTGCAGCATTCCCATGGTCACGCGATCAAAATTCAGACCCTTGGCAACTGGCTCGTATTTACGACGGTCGCCATGCCCTGGGCGGTGGATTTCATACATGATCCCCTTTTGTGACCTTCTAACAAGCATAGTTGATGGGGAAGCCAGATTCACTTAACGGCCGGGCGACTCACTTAAGATCTGTGGCAAGAAAGGTCGTAAAATGGGGTCTTAACAACTGTCTCATTTAGCAATAGAGAGAGAGAGAGACCAAAACTCTCTTAACAATTGTCTCATTTAGCAACAGACAGAATAAAACTCACTTGTCTCATTTAACAACAGAGATAGAGACCACAAAACTCTCTTAACTGTCTCATTTAGCAATGGAGAGAACAAAACTCACTTAACAACTGTCTCATTTAACAAGAGAGAGAGAGAGAGAGCAAAACGTAATAACTATCTCATTTAGCAACGGAGAGAGACCAAAACTCACTTAATAATTGTCTCATTTAGCAACAGAAATTTCAGGGTCAATTGTGGTCATCAGTCGAGGACCCACCTGCGGGGGGGAGGGGGTCCGGGGATCTGCGTACCCCACTGTTCCTGCTTGATGCAACCCCATCTCTTTGCTTTCAACCTGCCTGTCCAGCTTTTTCTAAACGTGGGCTTAGCGTTCATCGCGGAAAGCATAAAACGGATACAGGTTGTCCTCCACTTACAACCATTTGTTTAACGGCCATTCCAAGTTAGAACGCTACCGAAAAAAAAGTGGACTTACCACCGGTCCTCGCAGTTACGACCGTCACAGCATCCCCACAGTTACATGATCGCTATTTGGGGGCTTGGCACCTGGCACGTGCCAACAATGATTGCAAAGTCTTGGGGCCAAACGGGAATTCCCCCTTTGCCACCACCCCATGCCAACAAGCAAAGTCAATGGGGGAGGGAGAGATGGATTCGCTTAAGGATAGGATGATTCGCTTAGCAACCACAATGGATCCGCTTAGCAACCGTGGCAAAAAAATGTGGAGCAACTCAATTCACACCGGTCTTGCTTAGTAATGGATATTCAGATGGATGTAAGTTGTGGACTATGTGTAATGAGGTTTTGACTAAAGGGAAAATGGGAGGAGGAGGAGGAGGAGGAGGAGGAGGAGGAGGAGGAGGAGGAGGAGAAGGAGAAGGAGAAGAAGAAGAAGAAGAAGAAGAAGAAGAAGAAGAAGAAGAAGAAGAAGAAGAAGAAGAAGAAGAAGAAGAAGAAGAAGAAGAAGAAGAAGAAGAAGAAGAAGAAGAAGAAGAAGAAGGTAGACAAGGTAGAGGAGAAGAAGATGAAGGGGTAGAGGAGGAAGAAGAAGAGAAGGAAGACAAGGAGAAGGAGAAGATACATAAAGAGGAGAAGATAGAGGAGGAGCAGAAAGAGGAAAAGATAGAGAAGGAGCAGAAAGAGGAGAAGATAGAGGAGGAGCAGAAAGAGGAGGAGGGGGAGATGGAGGAGGAGCAGAAGAGGAGGAAGAGGAGGAAGAAGACTAGGAGAAGATACATAAGGAGGAGAAGATAGACACAGAGGAGGGAAAGCAGGAGAAAATAGACCAGAGAGAGAAGAAAGATAGAAAAGAAAGAGGAGAAGGAAGAGGAGGGACACCGCCCCACACACACACCCTCAAAGAACCGGCTCAGAAAACTCACCTTACTTTTAAGATCCTCCTGGTTTACTCCGCTGACATAGCCTCCGTCTGGCTGACCCTTATTCGGAAGGGAGCACGAA